CCATTAATTTTGTTTTTCTTCTTTCTTCTTTGCTCTTGACGAGGAGAGACCCATTGTTGCATCTAGATGGCAGCTTGCTAGCTTTTAAGATCCTAGTCACTACTCACCAAAGTAGGAGGTGGAACAATGTTTTATATAGTATGTTATGCCAATTGAGCTTGATGTTGGAGAAGCCTTTTGAAGCACATAAAAATTTAATTTTTAGATTGTCCCATTCATCTAATTTATCTTCAGCTGTTTGTACATTTTGGGTTATGCTTGACAGTCTATTTTTGCCATAAATTAAACACAAACACAACTTGCTCCTTGTTTTCCCTTGAGGAACTTTATAGTTTTAGTCTTTGATCCATCTGGAGTTAGTTTTTGTGTATGGTGTGAGGTAAGGATTTTGTTTCATTTTTCTGCCACTGGATATCCAGTTTTGCCAGCATTGTTTTACTAAAGAGACCATCTCTTCTCCATTTAATGGATTTCAGCCTTTTGTCAAAGATCAGGTGACCATAGGCCGATGGATCTATTTCTGGGTTCTCAATTCTGTTCCACTGGTCTATGTGTCTGTCCTTGTACCAGTACCAGGCTGTTTTGACTACTGCAGCTGTATAGTAGGTTTTGAGATCCAGGAGTGTGAGACTTCCTACTTTGTTCTTCTTCAATAGCACTTTGCTTATTCGAGGTCTCTTCCTTTCCATATAAAATTAGTGATGGTTTTTTCCATATCCTTAAAGAATACTGATGGGATCTGTATTGGGATTGCATTGAATGAATTGTTTTGGGTAGTATTGACATTTGCACAATGTTCCATCTTCCTATCCATGAGCATGGTATGTTCCTCCATTTATGTAGATCTCTTATGCTTTCTTGGAGTAGAAATCTGTAGTTATCTTTGTACAGGTCTTTTGTGTCCCTAGTGAGATCTATTACCAAGTATTTTATTTTGTGATAGCTATTGTAAATGGTATTGATTTCCTTATTTCCTTTTCAGCAATTAGTGCCCTGCTATCTTAACATTTCATGTCTGCTTATCTTCCAACTACAAGCTACTACTGATTCTGACTACAATGCACTCCTAGTCCTTAGAACAAAGAAGGCAGCAGTAACTGCTTGCTAAAGACAACTCAAGAGCACCTAACAAAAAAGTATTGCTTTGTAATTCTGGGGAACTTAACATTTTGCAATTTGCCTCAACAACGTGGACATGCACATTTGACATGTTTTCCAAGGGTTTCTCCATTTTACTATCCTTGTGTCCAAATTGGTGTCTTGCTGCATCTTCCCTGCGCCTCTTTCACAAGCGTGGGCCCCTCATTGCCCGGCAGGAGCCTGCAAGCGCCTGGCTGGGGATGACAGGACTGAGGGTAACTAACACCAGCCCCCTTGCTTTTACACGTGGATTTTGCTAAATGTATGCTTATGGTAGAGAACTTAGAAATGTAAGGAAAAAACAAATTACTTTTCTTCCCACCACCCGGATAGAATAACATCTATCATTTGTTAAATCCTCAGCAAAGCATTCTGCTACTATGCAAAGGGTAGGTGGTTCCAGCGCACCAGCTTTCGCTGCAGACGGCTTCCGTAAAGATTTACAGCCTTGGGAATTCTAGGGGGCAGTGCTACTCTGTTCTCAAGGTCGCTGAGAGTCGGAACCGACTGCATGGCAGCGGGTTTGGTTTTTTAGGTATGTGCTAAACTTAGTTTTCAGATGCGCGACTTCATTCCTAAGGGGCTGTCCAAGGACTTGTGGAGAATTTCTTTCCAGGCTTGTTTCTAACCCAAGACCCAATTCAAGCTCTCTTTTGAGTTTCCGTTCCACTCGAGGGCCTAAGGAGCGCACGAAATAAAATTTTGTCAGGCTAAAGCAAAAATTTGTTAGTCTCGGGAAAAATTCGTCAGTCTGGAGATCGGTGGCTTTGGGATTTCACTGTCATTCCGGGGAAAATGCGTCAGCCTTGGGAGGAAAGTCCTTTTGTTGAGGAAACTCGAGCTCGTCTGAGCCCCTCCCGCGCGGGCCTGGGATTACCCCAGTCGTTCTCTGTAGTCCCGGGGCTCCTTCCGACCCCCTGGGCCTCGACTCCCAGCACCGGCCCTGCGCTGGCCTGGCTGGTCACCCCCGCAGCAAATGTCCCTCTCTCCCTCTGAGGTGGACCGCGGCCGCCACGAGGGCGGCCTCGACTCCGCCCCCAACAGGCCCGTAGGACCAATGGGCACCAAGCTGGGCCGCGCGTCACGCAGCGGCGACCAATCGTGGAGGGCCACGACCGTAGAAAGGCTGGTCGCGGCGAAGACGGCCCATTGGGCGGCGGAGGCGCAAACTCGCGTAGACGGTCTCTGGCGATGGTGGTAGTGGCAGCCGCGCCGAGCCCGGCCACCGGGGCCCCCAAGATGCTACTTCTGTCCAGCAAGCCCGCCTCCGCCGCCGCCGGAGCCCCGGCCGGCCGGACCCTGCCGCTCATGGTTCCGCAAGCAGCGGGCGGGGGACCTACCCAGGCGCGCAAGCGACAGCGCCTCACGCACCTGAGCCCGGAAGAGAAGGCACTGCGGAGGTGGGTGAGGGCCGGCGCGGGGCCGGCGTCGGCACGAGGTCCCAGAGGGCCTGGGGCTGGGGTCAGGTCCGAGGCCGGGACAGGGCGCTGGGTCTTGACCGCCTCGCAGCGCTCGTGCGCCGGCCGCCTGGCACGTCCGGTGCCAGCGTGGCGCGGGGCGGGGCGGGGCAGGAAGCCTGGACTTGCCGCTTCTGCGGCGCGGGGTGGAGGCCCATGCTGGTCGGGCCTTTTTCTTTCTTAGAGCTGGCCAGGGCTGGGGATACAGGTACCTGGCTCCTAGGCCCTCTTCCTGTGTGACTGCAGGTCGGTCCCTCTGCTTCTCTGAACTTGGTCTTTGTGACTTTAACAGGGAGTCGACGAGCCTCTTGGTTTCCCTGTTTTCTGGAGGGGTGCGGAGCTGAAATGACAGAACTGTTGAAAGGGCTGTGAGCGCTGTGTGGCATTTTGAACAGTCAAGCTCAGCGTCCTTAGTTCCTGAGGTAGTTGGGAAAGATTGAGTGAGACACGCATGTAATGGGCTTACGGCTTGTCGTTAGGTGCCGTGGAGTCGGTTCTCAACTCAAAGCGACTCCAGGTGACAGTAGAATTGCCCTAGGGCTTCCAAGGCCACATTCTTTACGGGGGCGCAAATCACCAGGTCTTTCTTCCGCGGTGCTGCAGGGTGGGTATTGTAGCTGCAGGTTGTGATTTATTAAGGCTCCTTGAACCCACCGGAGCCCAGCCATCAGGGGGTCTTAGCTAGGATCTCAGCATTTGGGGAGAGTATCAGCTCCACCCTTACCAGAGAGGGATTTGGGGAAGGAGGGGGTTATGTCATAACGCAGTTGCAGCCTTACTAGACTGAATCAGGCCGGGTTGGAGCCGGTGTAGAACTGGAGTCAGGAAGCAGCGGGGGCGAGGGAGAGGGGAGGTGGAAAATTTTTTATGATGCAAGAGGAATAGCCTGTGTGCCCTGCTCCTGTGGGGCCCGGGATGAGACAAATGGGTGACGGGATGAGACAAATGGGTGACGGGATGAGACAAATGGGTGACGCAATACGGGGAGACTAGAGCACGTCTTCAAGCCAGATGGACCTAAGGCTGTATGTTTTGTTTTGTTGAGGGGAGGAGCTAGAAGCGTATTTTATCAAGAGTCTGATGTAAACCGTAAAATAAAATGAAAGCACCAGCTGGCCAGATTTGCAAATAAAGATAAAAATAAGTTTTGAGATGACTCAGTATGGTGTGTTCCTTCTGTTCTCAGGAAACTGAAAAACAGAGTAGCAGCTCAGACCGCCAGAGACCGAAAGAAAGCACGGATGAGTGAGCTGGAGCAGCAAGTGGTAGATTTGGAAGAAGAGGTATGAAGGCTAGACTCTCATTTGTAGCCACTGTACTGTAACTCCTTCTTTGAGGAATGTTCTGACACCTGGCTGTCAGTCGCAAATCATTTCAACTTCTTGAGCATACAAATGAGTCTGAGTCAGAATCAACTCTACAGCAGTGGGTTTGGGTTTTTTTATTAGTTAAATTAATCTAAGTATCTAAGGGTAGGTAGGTAATTGCTGAAGTGGTAAAACTTGAGAGCAGAGTGGTTTATTTCAGACAATTTGGCATTTCTCAAAGGTTGAGAATTCAAGAATGTCTAGCAAATTAGTTTTAAGAAATTTGTAGAGGCAACAGGAGATCATTGCTTAAACTTGAGACCCTTCTGACTTGCCCGCTAAGGCCAAATGTCCCCTTCCCCTTCTAGGGCTTGCCTTTTACCTATCTTGTCAGTTATACCTCCTGAATTTATAAGATACATTCTTTAATTTTTTTTTTTTTTAAATAAACTATGTTGTGGTAAAAAATATATAACATTTGCCATTTAACCATTTTTAAATACATAGTTCAGTGATACTTCATTCATGTTGTACATCCGTCTCCACTAACCATTGCCAAATGTTACTCATCACATTAAACAGAAATTCAGTACCCTGTAAGCAATAAGCTCTCGTTCATGTTGTTTTTAAAGTTTTAATTATTAGATGGTTTTTATAACAATCTTTGAGGAGTTGGTTGTTGTTGTTTTTAAGTTTTGTGGGTCCCAGCCCCCCAGTTTAATTTTATACTCCATTACTACCACTTCCTGCCAATTCAAGACAATTTGTTTTTAACGTGGTGAATTAGTGCAACTTCACTTAAATTAGCACCAGGAATCGCCCTTTAGTGGCTGGAGGCATTGTGTTATTCTCGACCCCCATGAAATGGCACTTCTTAAATAGCATATTTTTCCTAATTATGGCCTGCTCTTCTAGTACCTACCATGAATAATTACATAAGCATACAGTTTCCTAAGCATTCAAGGAGGAGGAAAGAGAACCAATTGTAGTGTAACTGTATTAGGTGAATTCTTCAGTGAAAAATTTAGACGCGTTATTTAATATTAATAGCCTCTTAAAAACTTCCAGAACCAAAAACTTTTGCTTGAAAATCAGCTTTTGCGAGAGAAGACTCATGGCCTTATCGTTGAGAACCAGGAGTTAAGACAGCGCTTGGGGATGGATGCCCTGGTTACTGAAGAGGAGGCAGAGACCAGGGTAATTCGTCGTCTTCATTTCGTTTCATATGTCAGAACTGGTTCTAAGTGACATAACCCCATGATTATGTTTAGATTCTGGAGTGCTAATCACAGGAGTTCTTGGAATTATCCTTTAGTTTTAAAACATTTCCATGCAGGCAAGGTGGCGTTTCTCTAACGACACTCATTATTCAAGTATAAAGTAAGTTACATGGCTGTCTAAGAACAAGTTCTGACAAATACAACCCACAAGATGAACCATGCAGACACTAAGAATCAGAATAAAAGAGATGGTCAAATCAGACTTTTTCTACTAAAACTACAGTTCTTTGGTAACTACAGACGAGTAGGGAAAAGGAGTCATTGTGATACACACCTCTGTGATGACATGTAGGGGTGGTAGTTTTGCATATGATAGCAAATTCTTGAGTGAAAATCTAAGGTTAAACACAGGGCAGTTCTACTCTGTGAAGGTAGTGTTCAGGAAGAATGGAAAAAATGTATCTTAAGATTCTAGGCTGAAATTTGCTATAAACCCAATGAAGGATATTTATCAGTATGGCCTGAATCTTTGTATTGAATAAAAAATTTTCAGTGCACAAAGTCACAATGGGAAGTTAGTCTTGTGTTTTCTTAGCCTTTCTTGAGGACTTAAGAAAATGGAAACAAAAGGGAGGGATTGCCAGTTCTAAAGAATCAGTGATAAATCGTTTTCTAGCTTACTTGGAAGTTGAGAATCCTAGCTGCCTGGTTAATATTTCCTTCGGGCCTCATGGCTGTTTGAGCTGTTGATTCATTTCAGTCTCTTCTCCCAGGGGAATGGAGCGAGGCCAGTGGCCGGGTCTGCTGAGTCCGCAGCACTCAGACTACGTGCACCTCTGCAGCAGGTGCAGGCCCAGTTGTCACCCCTCCAGAACATCTCCCCGGGGATTCTGATGGTGTTGACTCTTCAGACTCTGAGGTAGGGATCCATCTGGTTGATTAAAGAGCTGTGTAACTAGGTAAAGCCACCTATCACCTGACATCCCTAACCAGACAGGTGAGGGTAGGGGAAGATAGTTTTGGTGGGATGCAAGGTGAACATTGACTACCTTCCTATTTCTAGGTGATTAGGACATGAAGTATGGATAAATGGGTCTGGTGGTCCTAAAATCATCCTAAATGTAGTGCTTCATTTACATTAATAAAGTAGGACTAAGTGTTCTAGGTGCATTCTCAAGTAGATTCTGATAGTTGGACTCAATTTTCAGTTTATTTTTTGCTTTTTGCAGGCTGATATCCTTTTGGGCATTCTGGACAACATGGACCCAGTCATGTTCTTCAGGTATCTTTGCCCAGAGTCTCCCAACCTGGAGGAGCTCCCAGAGGTCTATCCAGAAGGACCCAGTTCCTTACCAGCCTCCCCTTCTCCATCACTGGGGACGTCACCAGCCAAGCTGGAAGCCATTAATGAACTAATTCGTTTTGACCACGTATATACCAAGCCCCTAGTCTTAGAGATGCCCTCTGAGACAGAAAGTCAAGCTAATGTGGTAGTGAAAATGGAGGAAGCACCTCTCAGCCCCTCAGAGGAAGATCACCCTGAACTCACCATCTCAGTGAAGGAAGAACTGGTAGATGACTTCATTCCAGAGCTGGGAATCTCAAACCTGCTTTCATCCAGCCACTGCCTGAAGCCACCTTCCGGCCTGCTGGATGCTTACCGTGACTGTGGATATGAGGGCTCCCCTTCCCCCTTCAGCGACATGTCTTCTCCACTTGGTGTAGACCATTCTTGGGAGGACACTTTTGCCAATGAACTCTTCCCCCAGCTAATTAGTGTGTAAGCAATGGTCCAGTACCATCGCCCTTTCCCTTGTGTATTAACATCACTGCCTGGAAGACAGCAGAGAAGCCTGTCTGCTCAGAAAGCCAAAATAGAGGGGTACAGTTCTAGAGAATTCCTCTAAAGTATTTCTTCAAACCTCATAGATCACCCCAAGTATTGTCTGTTGACATCCAATAGTCCAAAGTACACAGATATATTGCAGTAGTTCAAAAGTACAGCTTTTGAGCTTATACTTTGATTTGAAGAGTAGTTTGCCCTAGAATACTTAACAAGATGAACCATGCAGACATTCAGGAGATAGGGTCACTGGAATAATGTCTTGAAAGTAGACATGGGATTTATGGGTGGCCCTTCATCGCCTCTCCTTCCTCCCTCAGCATCCCAGGCCTGCCTCTGATTTTAGGTCTTTAGTTGGCTTCTGCAAGCAGAATTCCTACCTGAGGGGGTGACTTTGCCCTCATGTACAGTCCAAGTAAAGATGAAGAATCTTTTGTAAAATTATAGAAATTTACTATGTAAATGCTTGATGAAATCTTTCCCTGCTACTGTAGCTTTGGAAGGTGCTTTCTCCTTTTATTTAAAACTACCTGTGCAATTAAAAAGTGCAATGCAGTGTCTTTGTTATTTTATTTCCTTTTTAGGCTGTAAATCTCTCTCAGAAGTTTTTACTTTGTTGTTGTGGTAGTAATTTATTGAACTTTAATGAATGAAGGAAGGCCTTTTCCCCTTAATTACAGCCCGCTTCAGTTTCTGTCTGTGATAAGTGATGTAATAATCTACAGTTACTATATTTCTAAGACCATTTCCTTAGCAAAAACCTTCCCAAACTGACCATTTCACAGCTAGTTAAGAGACTAAGATAGGATGCAAACCTGCACCTGCCTGATCCACAGCGGAACTATCTTATCAAGTGTTAGAGAAGGGCATGCCACTGAATACCAAGATTGCCTTGCCATTATGGAGAGATTAAAAGCAGTTTCTAGATTCAAACCCTCTGGGTTCACTCTACCACTGGCACATAGCATCGCTTACTGTCTCATCTTTAAAGGGGGTCATTTAGTCATTATCTCTGAAGGTTTCTGAGAGGAGAGAGATGATGAATTATAAACACTTGGCAGTTGCCAAACATTATCCTAAGTACTCAAAAAGTTAGCTGTTACCACCTCATGTACTTTGGAAGTTAAATTAACTAAAATAGACTTTGTAACATCATCCTTCAGAGGGCATCTTGTCATTGGGGACCCTTTCACAAGAGAGAATTCTTTTATAGAAATCACTTCACCTGTGCCAGCAGGTGAGATCATTCTGTCCATTCAGCCTTGAAAGGGCATTTTTTCCATTTATTAAGATGACCACTTCAGGGGAGGTCAGTGTCAGCAAATACATGAAAAGGCAGGATGCAGTGAATCCGAGCAGCTAGACAAAGCAGTGCACAGCTTCAAGTACAAGGGAACTCGTACAGTGACTGGGAGCCAGTGTTCCCAACTAGACATGAAGGCAAAACCACCGTAATACCCAATCATTGAAGTCAGAGCCCAGCCTGTGTGTTTGGCAATGCAAGCCTGTGTAGGTGCTGAGTTTCTGTATAATAAATATAAGGACTGCCTTTGGCTGTCCCCATTACTGAGAACCTTATCTCACCTGATTTTCTATAATTGGGAATTTAAGAGCTGAGAATCTCTGGGATTTGTGTTGTTATGTGCCAATGAGTTGGACCGACTCATAGCGACCCCTCCTTGGGTTTCCAAGGCAGTATCACTATGGAAGTAGATTGCCCCATCTTGGGTTTGAACCGCCAGCCTTCTGGTTAGCAGTCAAGTGCTTTAGCCACTATGCTACCAGAGCTCCTGGGATTTGTGTTGTTGTTATGCGACCCCTCCTTGGGTTTCCGAGGCAGTATCACTACGGAAGTAGGATTGCCCAACCTTCCTTCCGAGGAGTGGCTGGTGGGTTTGAACCGCCAGCCCTCTGGTTAGCAGGCAAGTGTCTTAGCCACTATGCTACCATTTTTGCCTCCATCATAACAGCACAGCAGGAGCCCTGGTAGCACAGTGGTTAAAGGCCTCAGCTGCAAACGCAAACCAAAAAAGAACGGCAGTTTGAACCCACCAGCTGGTCAATGGGAGAAAGATTCAACAGTCTGCTTACAGTCTTGGAAGCCCTATGGGGGCAGTTCTAACCTGTCCTATACTGTGACTATGAGTCAGAACCAATGGCAGTGGGTTTGGTTTTTGGGTTGGAACAGCACAAATCTGGGGACGGAGGGTCAAGTCATCTATATTCAGCGACATCACGTGAAAGATGCAGCTGTACTAACAGAAATAACACGAGACATAATAACCAGTGGAGATGAGGATTTTCATTTCCTGTACAGATGGGTGAAAATTAAGCACTGTGCTCAGTCCCGAGAAAGCACCTGGTATTCAAGGACATTTTCATACTGAAACACGTTGAATGTTCCAACTAAAAATCAAGTGTTCCCCCTGCCCCCCAATACCAGTTTCTATTACGTATTTATATCTCACAACTGAGACAAAAGATTCAGGTGACAGTATGCACAGGATTTTCCTAGGCCTTGCAACACCGATGTCATCTCCTTGTCATCTACCAGACATGCTCCTGGAGCAGGAACAAGGTAGGAGACGACCTGTAGGCAGAACATACTATAGCCTACTCCAGGAATATTCTAAGCTATAATTGTAGTCGTCTAAGAATTGAAGTTACCTTCCTTACAATGTCTAAGGTTCATTGAGGGGCAGAAAATTAACTTGTTTACCCACCACTCAGTTGTTGAAAGACATTATTGTCTTGCTGGAGCTGTAGTCTAACCACTGTATTTTAACAACTTTATCTCTAAAAGCTACTGTGTTCTAAGGAACCAGAGAATTAACAAGGCTAGAAGATTTGAACTAAAAACTGACATACACTCTGCCTGAAAACACTTTACTGGTGAATTATTTCAACAAAATCCGAATGACCCACATCTGAGGTATTGCTACAAACTGTGTAAAACTAATTGGTCAAGCGGAAAGGCTAGAACTGGTAAACTGGATTACAGTACTAAATGTCACTCTCTAGTTAGCTTTTGTTTCCAAACTTGTAAAATGAGAAGAAAAAAAAAAGAAAAATTAGACAAGATAACTTCTTTTAGTTGTGATTTTCAGTTTGGTTAAAAACAAAAAAGTATCCTTTGTTTTCTGTAACTGCAAGCCAAACTTAAGTCCTTCTGCCCAACAAATCAAAAACAGGGTTGTAAATAGGCAGGCAATACTGCCCCCCAGTGACCTATAACTCAGGAAAGGAGCAATCATGAAACTGAACATCAAGTTAACTTCCCTATTCCTCATTTAAAGGTTCCAAATCCCTCTTGGTGAACTCTGTGTGCCATTTCCAACTCCACATCTGGCCATTTTTGAAGCGATCACCAACCACCAGCAGACTTGCTCTGAGTGGAAAGCATCATGTGGGTTTAGAATGGCAAAACGGTCTGCCTACTTTGGAAACAGCTAATTTGTGAAATTTATTTTTAACCTAATATATTCATCCCAACAAAACAAGCCCATACTGATATGAATGTTGCTTTATCTACAATGTAGAGGAAAGTAAAGAATTATCGGATTTCATCGACGACTAAATTACTGGAACACAAATATCTTAAAAAGTCCAAAACACTTAAGAAGTTTTATTGAAAATGATAAAATACAGAAACACCAGATTCTCAGTTTAAAGTAAAATTGACAGCATCTTCCAGAACTTTATTACTGCACCATTCTTGTCACTATTAAAAATAAAACCAAGTTCTAGACAGAAAATAACAAACCTGCTGGTAGACATTCTTCTCATGGCTCCGCCCCCCACCCTAGTTAGTTTTCTAAAATTTACATTTGTACCTTTTCAAGAATGAGTGGCAGTTTTTATTAATTAGTATTTGTGAGAATCGGTCTTTCTTCATATTAATTAAAAAACAGAACACACACACACCCCCTACTCAAACTTAAGAGAAAATATACATTTGTTCATTAAAGCTCACCTGCTTTTTTCTCTTCACACATTAGCACAGTAAGCCAATGTTTGATCCATGCTGAAAAAGCTATGTAACATGAGACCTGGGAAGAAAACCTTGGAGCAAAAGGAAAAGCCCTGCGTGCTGAAAGAAAAATAAAGCAGAGGCATTGGGACTGTGGAGACAGCTTAGAGGAGTAAGCACCACAAGATGAAGAAAACAATCTTTGTACAAACATTAAGTAAGAAGATCAAGTTCAAAAAGGAGCATTAAATATCCATTTTCCTGCAGAAATAAGTATCAAGTCAGATAACCTGAATGCTGAAAGAAAGTAGTTCTGTTTGGACTACAATTAACAGAACTGTAAATCTCTCCTGTTATCTACTACTAGTGTCAGAGCCTTGCTTTGGGCCCTTCTTTCCTCCTTTTTATCACACAGACCTTTGATCAGAGAGGCCTGCCCAACCTACAGAAGACAACCACAGTCATGTTTCGGGCCCTTCTTTAGAGAACTATCATCTCAACACTGGGACTAACTCCCGACTCTGGATAGTTGTGTCATGTTTTGAGTTGCACTAGAATAAACTTCTTAGCATGGAGGCTTCTTTAAGGCTATACATGTGACAAGTTGGTCCCATTAAACAATGACCACAAGGCAGGAGTTTTTTCAAACGGCATGAATCAAACATGTGCACATTTCAACAGAATACAGTTTACATTCATCTCTAAGTCTGAGATTAAGAAACTATTAGCTGGTTTCCAACTGGTTTCAATACTGGTTTGAAGTTCATGTAATTTTACTGTGTAGACATTAAATATTTTGTTTAAATATTAAACAGTAAATCTTTTCCTGACTATTCAGACAGAAATAGAGAAAGCAGGAACAGGCCAAGAGAAGAAACAAGTCCAACCAACAGACTTGTGACTCCTACGCCAACTGTAATGGGGGAAGGGGTTTTTCAGCATGGGTTTTAAAGATGCCTGGGAACAGGTTTCTAAAAATTCACTTCTACTTGGCATAAACCATTTTTTTCTACACAAGTATCTGATCTCTAAAAAGGGGGAAGGAACACAGAAAACAACAAAACAAAAAGAACTGGAGTGGTCTCCTGCTGAGTGATGAAAGCCACTCACTTGTAAGTCATAATAGATATTTGGTAGCAGTAAAGAAACTCACTTTAGTTTGCAGAGTCCTTTGCTACACAGAAGAGCTCTTCCTGAGAAATTAAAAACGTCAAACCTGGTTATGCCCAAAGGACACCTTGAGCCTGGTTTAGGTGTTCAAGAAGTGAAGGTTCCATGCTAGGAGGAAGATATTTCTACTGCCTTTCAGCCCTACTGCACAACAGTTTAAGCACCAGGCAAATTGGCTATTTCAGTCAATCTCAGTATCACTTGGCCATATGTTCTGAGTTAATATTCATTCACTGTTTTCTAAATTAAGATTTAAAAACAAAAAAACCCTGACTTGCTAATACAGGTACAACCTTTCTCTTAAAAAACAAAAAACAAACAAACAAAAAAAAACAAGAAACTCCAAAAGGTACGCTTGCTGGGTCTCATTGACACAGCACTTCCTTAAGATTAGTTAAGGGATGCTTCTCCCATGGCCAGTTCGCACCATGGGTTACACCTCACAATCTTAACTATCACTCAAAGTTAATTAAGTTGTAAACATTACCGAATAACCAGGCTTACCAATTATGCAGGGAAAACCAAGAGGCAACACTAGGACAAGGCAAATAAAATCTGAAGGAAAAAATCTGCATTTTCAGAGGCGAAGAGGTGAGCAACAAGCTACTGGCTATCTAACCAATACACTCAGCTATGCTGAATGGACAACTAATACACAAATCTTAGGGCCCTTGTCCAATTTCTTAATAGCCTTAAGCTACTGCTTTCTTCTGTCCTCACCAACTACATATAGTCACCACTGTAAACAGAGTTGTCCACAGACTAAGCTGACACAATTTTCAGTTGTAGTAGGTACCTTCTTCTTAACGCAACTTTTTCATCTCAAGTGACTGAATGGTTTACAAAATGTAAGAGGTGACTGAAGTCACTCTTACCCATATAGCTCCTATACTTGCCTGCGTAGACAGAGGCTGTAACATTTAATAAGCCCCCTAGAAAATTGCTTTTCCCTTGAGGAAAGCTTCGTTGGCAAAAAGTTGAATTCAGTAAATGGCTACCCAAAATAGTCCCACCCCAAACCACAGGTGGAGATTTTATTACACCCGTTTTATACAACCTTTAAGTCCCTATACTATGCAAGTAGGCTCATGGCTGAACACAGGAACCTTCTAAAATTTGATAAATTTAATATAGAAAATGGTTTCTAGAGTTCCATCTCTTCTTCTGTGCAGGCAGCTGTCTCCAGACTATTATAAAGAGGCAGCCCTGTTTGCTGTGGGTCCAAGAACAGCTCAGTTCTCTGAGGGAAGGCAGTGCCAGTAGCTGCATGCTTAGTCTGATTCTCTCCTGTGTAGTTCTTAGCGTTAGCTGGCGGCTTTGGCTTATCAGAAAGGAGTTCAGGGAGAGGTTTCCAGAGCACAAGCTCCATGGAAGGACGGCTCCTAAGACATAAAATAAATATTTTTATAAAAAATTTTAGGACATGGAAATAAGAGAGATACACTGAAAAGCTCACGTTTGCTACTTAATACCTTATGGGTAAGAAGTGATAGCATCCAAACAGATTTATGAAATCCAAACTGATCTTATCTTCTTTCTGAGGAGTGGCTGTGGTTTGTTTGAACCACTAGCCTTCTGGTTAGCAGTTAAATGCCTTAGGCACTACACCACCAGAGCTCCCGATCTTCAAAAAGACCACTCAAATATGTAAGTCCACAGTTCTGCATGCAATTCTGTAACTAAACCAACCAGCTTTACTAGTGCTCTGACTAAAAGTAACATAAATATCCCATGTGTAAAACAAAGGTCCTAGATTTATTTTAACATTTTAAGTTTTAAAGAAATTGTGGTCAACATTAGCAGATGTGGGCTGCTATCTTGTATAAAATCGTAACAAATGAAAATGAAACACTGGGACAACACATTAAAAGTATGTTTCAGTTGCTTTTTGCTTGATACAGCTATTAAGTATAATTCTTTTCAGTTAAAACAAAATGATTACGTTCCTTTTCTGGCAGTGATGGCTTCTGGTACCCAAAGGCAAGCAAGTCGACATAAAACACCAAAAGGAAGAACACTCCCAAAGGCTAGCTTCTGGAAAACTACCAAAACCAGAAAGTGCTATGTATGAGGCTGGAGGGCAATATGACCTGCTTACTCTTTGCTAACCTCTTTACCCACTCTCAGGACAAGGTCGTTAATCATAAGCTTAAGCTAGAGCACTAACATAAAGCCTCTGTGATCTAACACCAAAAGCAGATGAACCTCCAAGCTCAATCACTTCCACTGTGTCCAAAGGCAGTAATGCTTCATCTATCTGGCATCACTGGGACTGGTGTTCTAAGATTCATTTTCCGTTCGCTGAAATTTGCCATCATTGAACATCAAGTATATATAAAGTATTTTCTTGGCCTAAATGCCTAAAAAGGAACCCTGTTGGCACAATGGAAGAGGTCGGCTGCTAACCAAAAAGCTGACAGTTTGAACCCAACATGGAAAAAAGGTATATAAAGATTAAAGCTTATGGAACTCTAAGACAATGACAATTCTACTCTGGCACACAGGGTCACTGTGAGTTACAATCAACTCAATGGCACCTAACAGCACAACAAATGGCTAAATGGTATTTTATAACTTGAACATTATTTTACACAGAGGACAATGGCTATGTGGGAGATTCTAGACTCGAGGACTACCAAGATGATAGAACTAGTCATTTGCACTTATCCCAAAGGGCCCCACGTTGTGCTGCATTTTAGGTTTTCCTATGTCAGTTTTCTGCAAGGAGCTCTGGTGGCAGCGTAGTGCCTATGGCATTTGACTGCTAACCAGAAGGTTGGCGGTTCAAACCCACCAGCCACTACACAGAAGGAATAGGGGGCAATCTACTTCTGTAAATATTTACTGCCTCGGAAACCCAAAGACAGTCACTATAAGTTGTAATTGACTTAATGGCAGTGAGTTTGGTTTTGGTTTATGTTAGCTTTCTAGCTTCCTATCTTGTCCTTTGACACTGTTAACTGTCACTACTCACTACAGTGAGTTTGTTTCTTTTGCTCTAACTAGCTATTTCTTTTCTACTCTGATGATGTCGGAAACCAAGTAACTAAGCTTAAATCTAAATCAAAAGCAAGGTGTCTCTGCTAACGGGCCAGAGAGGCTATGATATGAGCCAAGAATATGTGCTTTGGTTTGTGGCCTTTGGGTGATTATTTTGACTGCTAGTAAACTTTTGTTTCCTAGGTTGCAATGGGTGTTTGTGGATAAATGACAGAGCCGGGAAAATAAGCAGTTTCAAAATGTGGTTCCTATAGCCTGTATCATGAGAACATAAATGAAAGGACTCTCTCTTGCCAGTCCTCCATTCCCAGATATTAAGACTGTAGTGAATCTACAGTGCATCCCAGGATTTCAACCACAAGGTAAGAAGACAAGGTAGCCTCTCCTGCCTGTACTTACTTCAAACTCCTGCCTGTACCACATTTGCTCCTCGCAATAAACTAAGAAAAGGCCTGTCTTCTGCAGGCTAAGTACAAAACCTCCTGTGCTTTCACTTGTCTGATAATCAGGCGATGAAAGAGATGACTAGGATAGGACAGGCACTGTCTAGAGACAGTGCATTTTAAAAAGTATAAAGAGTATAATTCACAGAAACCAGGAACCAAAACTTACATGGACTCAATCATTTTCTTTGTAAAGACTTCATCAAATTCCCTCTTCAAACCTGTTTTCATGGTATCAGAAAGGACAAGACTGGGGAGATGGTTAATATTTCTGTCAGCTTCAACTTCTTCATCTTCATCAATTATCCTAAGTAAATTAAAGCAGCAGAAGGAGCAGAGAAAGGAAAATTATTTAGCTCAGCTATTATACATTATTCTAGCAAAGGAAAAAGCAAAACAAAACAGGATAAAAGCAACAAGTGCTACAGTAAAAGTTCCATATAAAAATCGTTGGAGTACAAAAAGCATGTATGAGTTGTTAAGCATTTCAATTTAACAAAACTGTTTTATGTAAGATGCTATCAAATGTGAAGACAGTGTCCCAGAAAACTATCTCACAAACCACAAATTAAAGATTCAGAAATAGTACGTGAAAACATGCCATTCTAGCCTATGGAGATAGCTCACTTTAACATGTGAAGTGTACACTTTGAGTTCCCCGATTTTTATAGCAATGAACCAGCTGTATATTGCCCATTTACCTGTCCTCAATTTCCTGAAGCCTCCTCCGGGCAACTTCACACTGTGGTTCTGTGGTTGTCTGATCCATTTCTTCACAGATCACATCTAACATGCCAGATGCAGAAAGGCCATCAGTGCATGGATTCCCTCCATGACCCTCTACTTCCTGATGTGCACAAAGAATCCAGTCACCAGGGCCAGGACCAAGCCCTGCTTCAATCAGCCTTTTCTTTCTCACCGGACAACTGAAGAAAAAAAAAATTTCAATGAAAATCCCAACTTTTTAAAAAATTCGGTAGAAAACAAATGAAATGTGTATCATTCCCATCTTTAAATTCTTATTTGGAAAAAAATTTTTAAAAACTCAAGATTTTTTGAGTGTGTGACCACAAGACAGAAAACCACACATTCTTTTTTGTCACCCTCACAGCTTTCTGAGATGTTTTCTTCCACTGCTCTTTGCCACATTAGGCTGTACCTATAGGATTCTGCCTTTTCAGATTAGAAGTGTTCCATGTGGGAACTTCTAGTCACTCCTATTAATTTGCTCTGAAATGGTCAAATGGGAAGTAAAAGAACCGAGTATCACAAGGCAGTAATTCAGCACCAGCCATATTCTGCCATACTGCTGGCACCATCAAATTGGCCATATGGGGAAGTGGTCTGGCAGGCATTCTAAATTCCTTTTGTGCAAAAAATGTATAATGTATGCCTCATCAGGTCTCTTCCAAGTATAGGTGCAGGTGATACTATTGATTTCTCATTCTCCTCCAAAGTATCAGAGGTCGTCATAACGGCTCTATCAGTTCATCACCAGTAACGAGGTTCAGTGTTCTCCCACCTTACAACATACGATCTTCACTTTCTAGACAAATTCATAGTTGACAGAGATGTTAGCGTTTGTCGAATCCTATTTCTTTGTTTTGCAAATTTGAAAACTGGGGCCTGGGAAAGCTAAGTACCCCCTCCAAAGTCTCACAGCAAGCTAGTGTGCTGATGTATAGGACCAGACTCTAGAGCTCCTGTCCTCCCTCTGTGCCATTTTCACTAATTCCTCTCACTCCTTAGGGACGTTCAACTGTTCAAGCTCTTTCCATAAATTAGTACTTGCAAGCACAACACGCCCATGTTTAACCGACAGCTATGTAAATCAAGTTAAAATAAGCAAGCATTCCCATTCTACTTAAGTACTTAGACTAAAATTACTTTATTGCCTAGGCATCAGCAAGGGCAATGTCAAGACCAGAAAACATAGCTCTGTAGCCAAAATTCACGCCTTACCTTCTCATTTTCTAAACTGAGGGTCAAAGGAAGCAGCATGCATTTTATAAGGGAAATTCCTATTCCATTTCAAGACTGGGAAATTCAACATTAAAGTCTCTGGTGATATAAAATCTGAGAAGTAACAATGCTCTCTGGAACCTGTATTTTTGAGAGGAATGAACTACTACATGTTTGGTTTACAGTGTTTTAGCTCACAAGGAATTATTAAGAATGTCTAGATATACACATGTGTTGTTGCTGTTAGGTGCTATTGAGTTGGCTCTGACTCATAGTGACCCTGTGTACAACAGAACGAAACACTGCCTGGTCCTGTGCCAGCCTCAGTACATGTGCTAATGTATATATGTATCAAATATGTCCATAATATATATATAGTTTTAAAGTATATGAGAGAATATGTAATTACCTAGCACATCTAAAACAATTTAACTATTAAATGAAACTGAGTGTTAAGAACTGGGTTCTAACCTTTGACTCCCAATATGATTTAGCTAAATTCCTTCATGTCTTGGGGTACACTCTGCATACAATCAGAGCTCAATGATGATTAAGCTGCATGGAAAATGTGACATAAAGACTTCTAAATACTGATAAGAAAAGAACTACGGAAGTGAAGGTTGGACAGCACAATCTGGGCTTTAGACCTCCAAACGTCTAGTCCCTTCTCCCAGAGCTTCGATCTCTCCACATATAAACTAAAAGCGGCTAGCTTTTCTAGCTGACAGTTTGCACACTTTAAACTTAAAAGACAAAAAAAAAAATTTGGAGAAAACATTCGTAATACACATAATCACTTGCTAATTTCCTTAATAAAAGACTTCTTGGAAATCAATGAGAAAAACACAACTGTCAATAAAATATTTGCAAAAAAATGAACAATTCAAACAAAAATAAACACAAATGGCTTAAATGAAAATGGTCGTTTATAAGCAGTAAAATGCAAATTATCCAATTTCTTTAATCTTTTGAATCATAAAATCCTACATGCACAAGTGAATCGCACAAGCTATGACCAATGGTTACAAAACAAACATCCATGAAAATATCATTCAACATTCTGAATGCTGCCAGTATCCCCACATAGTACTTTCAAGAGGTAAATACTGTCTTTTATGAAAATTACTTCCTTTTGGATAAAAATCACTTCCCTTTAATGCACTATCATGTATGTAGATATGTATCCCTAAACAATTCTGTTTTGTCTGATTTCAAATTTGGCATTTTAGAAATTACTCTGTATACCTTCTTGAGATTTCCCCCCCTTGTATTATAAGACATATCTACATTGATGTGGGTAGGTACAGAACATTCTGCTTTCTATGCTGTATAGGCCTCCATTGTACAAATTCATAATTTATCCATTTTACTCTTAAAAGAGACATCTGGATTGTTTCCAGTATTAAGCTATTATAAACAAGGTGTCTATGAACGTTCTTGTACCTGGTGCATATATGAACTTCACCAGGGTACAAGTATGTATCAAGGAAGGGGAACTGTTGGGTCAAAGAGTATGCATGCCTTCAACTTTATCAGATAATGCCAAACTGTTCATTCCAATTTATGTTTATAGGGGATGAAAATCCCCACTGCCCCACATCCTCTCCAACATCTGATGGTAGAGTGACAGTGCACTGTGGTTTTAACGTGCATTTCCCTAAAGACTGATGAGATTAACGCCTTTTCATTTGCTAGTTACTCTTTTGGATTTCCTCTTTGGGGAATTTTCACCCATTTTTCTACTAGAATGCCTGTCTCTGAAATGTAATTTTTCACCTTTCAGTTAAGCGATGATCAAAAAATTTGGAATTATCGTTCTGGTGAGAAGATGGAGTAGCAGGCATTCCCACTGTCAACAAGAGTATAAGCTGGCAACATCTCTTGAACAGATGCAGTGATTATCTAGCAATCCATTGACCTACCAGCAAATATATAAAAGATTTTTAAAAGGGTCACAGTAACTTTATTAGTAATAGCAAAAGATTAGAAATGACTTAGAAATCTCTCAGTAAGAAACTAGGTAATTACGCCCCGATAGTCAACAGTTAAGTGCTCAGCTGCTAACCTAAAGGTTGGTGGTTTAAACTCACTCATAGGCTCTGAAGGAGAAAGACCTGGTAATCTGCCTCCATAAAAATCATGGTCATGAAAACCCTATAGGGCAGGTCTACCCTATCACATGGGGTTGCGATGAGTCAAAATAGACTCGACAGCACCCAATAATAGCCCTACAATTGAATTCCATTCAACTGGTGAAAAAAAATTGGACAGAACTCTATGGGCTGATATGAACAAGCTACAGGACAGTAAAATGAAAAGAACCATGTGTCACATAGCATGAACAGTATCTTCCCATAAAGGTTAGAAGGTCTATAAGGAGCTCTGTTAGCATAGTGCCTAAGGCATTTGACTGCTAACCAGAAGGCTGGCGGTTCAAACCCACCAGCCACTTCCTTGGAAGGAAGGTTGGGCAATCTACTTCCATAGTGATACCGCCTTGGAAACTCAAGGAGAGGATGCCATGAGTTAGGTCCGACTGGATGGCACATAACACCGCTTCAGAAACCCAAGGAGGGATATCTCTATGAGTGGGATGCGACTTGACGGCAGCGAGTTTGGTTTGGTATACAATTATAAGGAGCTCTGATAGGAGAAAGATATGGCAGTCTGCTTCTGCAAAAAGTACACCCTTTGAAATCCTATGGGGCACTTCTACTGTGTCCTACATGGCCTCCATGAGCCAGAAGCAACTTGGCAATTAATTTTTTTTGCTGTTGTTGTTTATACAATTATAAACTTGTAAATCTTGGACTACAATCTAAAAGGGAAATAGGAATAAGGTAACAGAAGTTGTCTGTGGGGAAGAGAACTGAGAGTGTGGACTATCAGGCTCTGTAGTATGTATCCCTTTGCACACTTGGAATTCTTACAAGTTATAGCATGAAGTCTTCCTCCAACTTCTGTCTGCCAACCATCCAGTTCCCCTGCCCAAAAGAAAACCAATGTTACCAGTTTCTTGAGACACTCTATGTGTTCCTTTTTCACTTACAAGTTGTTTAAGATGTTATAAAGAGGTTAAACTCACAACGATCATTAAGTGAATAAATGGTGCCTAAAACTTACTCATCATCCTCTTCCTCTCGCTTGTGTTTCTTTTTACAGTGAACCGAGACACTGTTGGGGAAAAAAAAAAATTCAATCAACTGAGAAATGTACTTTATTATTATGCTTTCAGCATCTACTCTCTCTTGGTCCATTGATCTTGCCCATCCTACACGTACTACCTGTCCCCTTCCTGGCACATACAGGTCACAAGGCCAGTACGGCAGTCCGAGGCTGAGATCTAAACTGCTCATTTTCCTAAGGTCATGAGAAATCTATTTGGCGGGGCCAAGGTCGGGAAAACATATTCGATGCAGGCGCTGTGTTAAGTTTGTTTCCATGCTCGAACTAAGAGGGCAGATTTTCTGCTCTCACTTTGCGGATTAGGAAACGGTGTCCGAGAAGCGCCGGGAGTCGTTACCATCAGCGGACTCGCCGCGGGCTGGAAGGAGACGAGGCGCAGACGCCCCTAAGGGACCTCCAGGCTCCAGTCGGCCCGGCTTCGCCCGCCAGACCTGGACAAGCTTCAACCCTGGACTCAGAAACCTTACGCTCCCTACAGTTAACGGCTCCGGGGCTCAGTTTCCTCATTTGTAAACTGAGGCTAAGAAGCTTCCCCGGAAGGTTAACGAGTCCGAGCGCTGAGCACCTAGCCCCGCGCCCGCCGCGAGGGACGCCCGACCCTCCCGTCCGCCCCGCGCCCACCGGGCTCCTCACCGTCTGCGCGCCGCGCTCCCGCCAGGACTGCTCGGAACGGTGCGGGGACCCGATCGCGGGGCCAGCTCGGCGCCGTTCGCCCCGGGCGTGAAGGCCCGGCCGGGGAAGGCCGGCGGCGGCTGAAGGAAGTCCGAGCTGCCGCTCAGGGGTAGCCCGCAGAAGGGCCGGCCAAGCGCGGCCATGGCCGGCGGGATGAAGACCCTGCGCCCGCGGCCCTGGCCGCCCGCGTCCCCAGACCCGGCGGCTGCTGCCACAGCGACTGCTGAAAGGCGCCCGTCTCTGAGCCCGCTCCAGACCCCACGTCACGCCTTCTAGAACCCTCCACCCCGTGCCGCCCAGAGGCACGCCGGGATTTGTTGTGTGTAGAAGGCCGATGCCGCAAGGGTTTCCGGGAGTTGCAGTCTTGCGGACTACAAAAAAGATGGCTGCCTCCCGGCCTCCTAACTAGACCTTGAGGATAGACCTGGTAGTCCTAGAATATGGCCTGGCATATAGGAAGTGCTTTATTCGAATCCTCACTCCGTAAGTAAACATCTAGAACCTTTAAAACACCGACTAAGATATGGTATTTTCTCATTAAATTGTTGTTTTTTCTAGGTGCCGTGGAGTCAGCTCCGACTCACAGCGACCCTACGTACAAGAGAACGAAACACTGCCCTGCCATTACATATCAGCTACTAATTCCTTCTATGAGCCCTTGTGAAAGTACTAATAAACCTTCCAGCCTCTGCCTGGGACACCCAAAGACAGCTGACAGCATCTCCCACCAGCTTGGAAGATGGAAGAGTTGCTTAATCCAACCTCTGATCATGCCCCATTTTTCCCATCCCAGGGAATGACACCACCATCCAGCATAGGTTGCTTATGCCAATGTCAATGCCCTTCAGCCAAAGACCACCAGAAACACATCTAAACTGAACAAAGTTGGATTTATTAACTGGCTTATTGCAGTGGGGTCATTGTATACCCTGAGCAACTACAAGGTATCTCAGTGAGAGGGTGTTAGAAAGAGCCTGTTACAGGGTTTGGGCTTGTGTTAAGCGATTTTGGAGAAAGTTCAAGGGCTTTGCTCTGGATTCAGTACTGTTAGAAGCAGGGATAATTGCATGATTGGGTATCTTAATCTTATCTAGAAGATGGGAAGAATGAAGCAAGGCTAAACCTGTAATCAGTAAGAAGCAACAGCTCCTTATGCTAACCAGTATAAGGGATGTTTGATCATTTGTGGTTTAAACAATGTTCATGTTTTTGTCTGGGTTCAGAGATGATTTTGAAGTGGTCTTAGTTTGTTGGTATTTAAATTATTTAAAAAATTTGTTGTGGTAAGTACATACATAACACAGCATTTGCCATTTCAACCTTTTTTTGCGTGTACAATTCAGTGATGTTTCCTTATGTTTTACAACCATCACCATTATCTATTTCCAGATTTTCGCATCACCCTTAACAGAAAAGTTCACTGCCCTCTAACCAATGACTCCCTTTTCTCCTTCCCTCCCATCCCTGAGAAGCTCTAATTTACTCTCCGGCTCTATGCATTTACCTGTTCTAGATATTTCCTGTAGGAGCTCTGGTAGCATAGTGGCTAAGGCACTTGACTGCTAACCAGAAGGCTGG